TATGTAGAAAATACATATAATTTTTTTTCTCCCCGACGAATTGTGCTTTATCTCCCCGACGGGGGGGGGGGGCACCCCTGAATATAAATGCCTATACCAGTAGCAGTACCAGACGAATAGACATTTTTAACGAGTTTTTTAAACAAGTTATAACGAATGTGCATCTGTTATACTGTGTTAAACATTTCCACTGCTCATAACAGTATGACTTTGTTTCTTTTTGCTTCTTTTTTTGCTATTCTCTCGAAGCATCTGTTCCAGTCTGTAATGAACCAGTCTGTAATGAAATTGAAATGACCATAAATACATTTGAATTGGTATTTAAAAAAAAAAGATGTGACATTGCTTAAAACAATATAGTTCAAAGTTGAAAATATTCATATGTTTTGTAAACAGAAACTGGAAGTTCAATAATTCTGTACTGAGAGATAGCTATTTCGTTACATTTATTATACAAGACACTCTATGGTGAGTACGGTAATAGAACAGCATGCGGTTACTCCGTATTTTAGACCAAATTTAAGAAATATCCACCCTGTTACAAATTTACAATTAATGATTAAATTTGTTGAAATGATTCTAATGTGTTTTCTTATTGTTTGTCCAATTGCTTTTGGAATTACGTTTTGGTGCTTTTCATGTTCAGCAATACTCCATTTTGTTTTGTTATATTTACAAACTGGGGCAACTGGGTCCGTTAGATACAAGTCACTTTGCATATACTTTATATTTAAACTGCATGGTCTTAGAGCAAAAGGAGAATACAGCATACCAAATTATAAATTTTTGTATATTGACGTTTTAGTAACAACAAGGGGATGTTGCCAGGATCTATTAGGAGGGGTAGGAAACCTAAATTTCCATATGTCACTATATACCGTACTATACACAGTTAACAACGACCGGGCAATGGCATGTGATGGATGTAGATTGGGAATCCACAAGGTGTTCTTGCATAACACATGACTGCTACAAATACTACTTAAAATTGCAAAATTTAAACTGGATTTGTCCATCATGCGAAGTATAGAACTTTGCTTGTTGGTTGTTCATTGTTGACAATTTTAAAAAGCCTAACTTATATGATAGATTATTATTATTTGTAAATTCCGATAGTGAGAGCTAAGTGGAGTTCAACCCAAAAGTTACCACCCCTCCCAGTCCCCAAATAAAAACAAACATTAGAGACGTAAGACCATTGTACCCAAGTTTCCTGACCAAAAACATGGGCCATTGAAAATTACAACCAAACAAAAATTTATTGAAGTCGCTATTATGAACTGTGGTAAATTTGGCTTGGAAAGACGGAATTTCAAGATAATTATCTTTACTTGGAAAGACTAAATTCCAATGGCGGCGGAATGTTTTTGAAAGTGGGGGTGGGGGAGGGGGAATTTCTTAAGGTTCAGTATGCGACAGAAAAAGGAGCATCTCGGCTACGGTTATTTGACGATGTTTGGTAAATTATTAGTTATTTTATGGCATCAAGCTACTGTAATATGACTTCATAATTATTGTAATTTCCGAGGTCGAGGGTGAGATTCTTCCACGATCACAATGAATTATTTATCATGATGGGCCGATGCAAACATTAAAGATATTAAAGCTGAGGATATGGAATACAAACTATCTCAGTTTGCTGACAATACAGTGATGTTTTTTCATGGCTTGGAAAATTCGTTAGATGCGGCTTGCAATGGGCTTAAGAATGGTTGTCCATAAAAATCAAAGATTTGTTGGCAGATGTCAAAAAATGGATTTCTCTCAAATTTTTACCATGAATAGGTACTTGGGTAAAAAGCATATCTATGACATTTGTTCAATTTTTTAGCCTTCGTTGTCACCGTTTTTGTCAATTTTGGACATTTTCAGACCATATTAAAAAAAAGAACATGCACTATATATATTTTTGTGATCATTCATGTAAATAACAAGGTATTCCATTAATCGCAAAAAAAAAATTGTGTACAAAAATCTGTTTGGAAGATACCATTATTTATAAAAGGGGGTTTTCCTCAAAATATATATTTTTTAAAGTATGCCTCAGAAACCTATTTGTAACTTCCAAAGTGGTGCATACATATCCACCACTTTATCTGCATTGCTCCTCTCCACCCAGGAGTATAAATGGGTATCTGGTGGGGTTGCCTGCTCCTGCGCTGATTACCAGCAGCAACACTTAGCATGTGGACCCAATGACCAGGAAAGGAACTGCGCTTCATAACCGCAAGGAAGAGGCGCCTTATAAATGCCCGTACCAGTACCAGTTCCATATTTTGATAGTCAATAGTCGTCCAAACAATAATCAAGAAAAAAATGTGTGGGTAATTTAAACACGTGGATGCGGTATTGCTAGAAAAAACGTCATTTTTTGAATAAAAATATATCATTTTTTACTGGGTGGATAACACTATAAATCACTGTAAATCTATTTCAAAATAATGCTACTATAGTTACATAAAATAGTCTAACAACGTGTTAAGAAATGTGTTGCCAGGCTCATTTCGAGTAATTTAAAATCTTATTTTGTACTGTATTGCCAGAAAACAGTATTGTTTTTATTGAAAATTAACATATACATCTTTTTACTGAACAGTTAACGCTATAAAATATAATTCATTAACAATAACAAATATAGTTATCTGACTAGTTTAACAACATGCTAAGGAATGT